GCTTGAACATAGGAAGTTCCATCTTAACATGAGAAGGAACTTCTTTACCTTGAGGGTAGTGGAGCACTGGAACAGGCTGCCCAGAGAGATTGTGGAGTCTCCCCCTCTGGAGCCATTCCAAACCCGCCTGGACGCCGTCCTGTGCAACCTGTTGTAGGTGCCCCTGCTCTGGCGGGGGGGGTGGACTAGATGATCTCCAGAGGTCCCTTCCAACCCTGACCATTTGGTGATTCTGTGAAGCAGGGAAGGCATCAGCTGAGCAGAGGAGGATGAACGATTCTGAGCTAAGCCAAACCTGACAGCCTTAGGACCAACGCTGGGGCTGACGCCGTCCAGCGGACCAGCAGGATCACAGAGAGCCACAGATGCACTGCTTTGCTGACACCGCTGCTCGCAGAGAATGCAGTGGATTAAAAGGTATCTGTATCTCGAGGAAGCCACAGCTACAAGGTTGGGATCCGCAGTGAGAGCCAGCGGCGTGCCAGGGCTGTGCTCTCCACTGCATGCCCATACCTTAGTAAGGGCAAACAAATGATAGTTCTCACACCAAGTGGACTTCACGGGCATTAGAGAAATCCTGGCTTTATGGACAGATGTCAGAGGAAAAAGCTCACGCCTCCAAGGCCAAGACCCTGCCAAAGGAGGAAATTGGACTGGTCTGAAATGATCTGGTGTCAGGACACTCCCACTATTCATTCTTTCTATCAATTATGATGGCAGAAGTAGCAAACTCCTTGATCTTCCCAGGTGCTTCATGCATACTAGAGCTACGGTTCATGTGCTACAGACCTCTGAGAGCCAAGGGCAGACGGACACTGTGGTGTAGGACCCATGGAGAGGAGAGAACAACAACTCCATCCCCCTGTTGACACAGGGCTGGACTGTGCATGGTGAAGAGCTGAGGTGACCAGACACCAGCTGCAGCTTTCACACCATCTAGCTGCCCCACAGACAGAAATGCTCAGGGAGAGCTGATCCACTGCCTCCCCGCATGGCACACACCAGCCTTTTCTGTACCTGCACATCGTTCTCCAGCTGGATCTTCATGCTGTTATACTCCTCCTCATCCTGCACCCGCAGCTGATTCAGCTGTTTCTCAAACTCTTCCACCTTCCTCATACGGGCACGCAGGTATTCCATCTACGGGGAAAAGAAGAACCTCATCCATCGATGGCCACAGCTTCACCCCGCAAGCACAGCTCCTTTGGCCAGCCCAAAACAAGGCCCTGCAGAGCAGGCTGGAAAACCGCCCCTCTGCTCCTCACACTCCTGAGGAACCAGCGGCCTTCATGCACATGTGTCTCTCAAGGCAGCCCAGTGCTGGAAAGCAGCACTGGTCCTGGCAGCCTTTGGCCCCTCATGACAAGAAGGACATGGAAGTGCTGGAGCATGTCCAGAGAAGGGCAACGGAGCTGTGAGGGGTCTGGAGCACACGTCTGGTGAGGGGCGGCCGAGGGCCCTGGGGGTGTTCAGCCTGGAGAAGAGGAGGGTGAGGGGAGACCTTCTCGCTCTCTACAGCGCCCTGACAGGAAGGCGCAGCGAGGGGGGGGCGGTCTCTGCTCCCCAGGAACAGGCGATGGGCTGAGAGGGAACTGCCTCAAGTTGTGCCAGGGGAAGTTCAGGATGGAGATGAGGAGAAATTTCTTCAGGGAAAGGGTTGTCAAGCACTGGCACAGGCTGCCCCGGGCAGTGGTGGAGTCACCCCCCCTGGAGGTATTTAAAAGACCGGATAGACGTGGTGCTGAGGGACATGGGTTAATGGTGGACTTGTGAGTGTTACGTTAACGGTTGGATTTGATGATCTTAAGGGTCTTTTCCAACCTAAATGATTCTAAATCTCACATGGACCTTACCTCCTGTGTGTTGTGGGCCTGGATGGCTTCCTCCCACTTCTTCCTGTTGTTGTCCAGCAGTTCTCGCCGTTCGAGCTCAAAAGCTTTCTGTGAAGGAGACAGAGCCCTTCACCATCATGTTGGCACCACTTGTTGCCAACCTCAGACTAGCCCAGGCCAGCAGCCTCCAGGAGAGGGTCGGTTGCAGACTGGTGCCACCATCCAATGAATACACAGTGGTTGTGTTCTCTCCTCTCCATGCCAGGACCCCACTGGCAGAGACCTCACACTGTGACCCCACGGGGACTGCTGCTATCAGCCACCCAGAGCTGGGAGAGATGCTTTTGGTGGTAGGTAGCTCTGCGAGTTCACTGGAAATCATTGCTTGATGATTCACCATGGAGCTTGGTCAGACAGCTACCTCATTTCCCCTTACAGGATGTTATACAGGGAGAGATGCCCCCACTCAACAACAAATGCGAGTTTGATCCGCGAGGCGGGACTTTGTGGTCTGCAGAAGGTAAGGCTAAAGAACTATAATGGTCCTTTCTGGCTTTTAGGGACATGAATAATCAGCCATCAAACAGCAACAGCTTTCATGTGCCACCGAGTTGCTCTGCACTGAACCACAGTCATTCACAGCACGGTATAAACCAGCCCCTCAGCACCATTCACGCTCTTGCTCCACCAGGTTTCAGCCTCATTCACCATGACATCAGCCCTGCTGCTCTGGACAGTAGTCAACCAGGCAGCGCAATGAGCCTGACGCCTTTTGGCGATAAATATGGAGAAGCAAGAGGCTGCAGGTTTTCTCATTGGACTATTCCTCCACCATACGAACTGGCTACCTCAATCCGCAGGAGTTTGTGACGGTAAGTTTTCAGCATGAGCCTGACATGCTCCTCCATTCTCTCCAAAAGCAGGTGGATATCATCTGACTGCTTCTTAATGGCCTGCACGTATTGCTCGTCTTTGTTTTTCAGTTCCTGGAGGAGAGCAGATGCTGAAATCAGAGAGAAGAATTTGACCAGGAATTCTCAGGCACTATCCGAGAGGGTAAGACCCAGATTCTGCCTTTTCCAAAGGAGAAAAGGTGATGAGAGCAAAGAGCCAGAGAGTCAAGAGGTAGTTAGGAGGGTAGGTGGGAGGAGAGAGAGATCATCGCTGCCAAAAGGTCCAGGTGAGATGGAGAGGGAGGTGACATGCCTGAAGACATACCACTCCTTCTCCGGAGGCCAGGAAACCTGCTGCGGGGAAGGCTTTCTTCTCTCTACAAAAACACTCCTCATCTCTGCTCATCTGCCCTTTTTTTACTGTGCAATCTGGGTACTGCCAGTCTGTCTTACTGCTACCAGTGTCCTGCGTGTCCGTCCTCGTGCACTCAACAGTGTCAGGGCACCCAATCTCATCGTCCAGATTGGGACACTGGCACCGCAGGTGCTGGCACAGTTTTGACCTGGATCCACTGCCACTAAACAGATCCCTGCCACGTACTGGTAGATTGAAGAGCCAGACAGGGATGGCTGTTGCTTTAGAACAGCACCCTCCAGAGTTTGAACCTCCCCATCCTTCCCAGTTGTCCCTGGTCCTCATGCTACCTGCTGCAGGTCACCGATGAGCTTGTTCTTCTCCTCCAGAAGCAGCGCGCACTGCTGCTGCTGTTGGTTAAGCAGCTGCCACAGCTCCTGCGGGACCGTCATCTCCTTGGCCAAGGCCCACTTGGAGGTGATCTCCTCGAACTTGTATGTGCTCGACTTGGCTTCATTCTCCAGCTTCTCCACCCTGCAGGCAGTAAAGAGCGCACGGCAAACGGGGAACTGGGGCAGGGCAGCGAGTGCTTCAGACATGGTTCAGTGGAGGAGCCCTTTCCTGCATAACCCAGTTTGAATTCCAAGTGGCATCAAGATATCGGTGGAGCAGCAGCTTTCCTGCAAGCGCTTGTCAGAGCATCGGGCAAGGGCAGAGCTGGCATCCTGCAGACCCTTCCCTTCAGACAGGCATTTCCCCAGCTCTGCCCTTGCCCAGTGCTCTAACAACCGCAGACCTGGAGGAGAAAAGACTAAAGAGCTCAGCTCAAGCCGCAGTCGCCTTTGCAAGGAGCACTAGTTTTTCTGCCAAGAGAGCCGTCTCCGGGCAAGAGGTGACGGACAAGCAGTGCCAAACAGCCTCCTGGCTACATCTAGACTTGGGAGTCAAACTGTCCCGACGCTATACTCCAGCTCAAGCCAAATGGCACCCAACAGCCCACATCCATATTACAAACCCCCTTCCTCTTCCAAACAGAGGTACCATCCAACGCTCTGAGGATGGCTCTTGGCTCAGGCTGAACAGCAGCCACCACCTTTGTCACCCCCAAACCTGCTCTACGTGAAATTCCTGAACGCAGCACCTGGTTCCTTCATGAGAGTCCCACTGGGGATCCCACTGAGCGAGGGACACACATCCTGCTACAGCCAGCCTCCCATAAACTGTTCCTACAGTGCCCTCCAAAGGCAGTAGGAGCAAGGACTCGGTGTTTCCTAGCTGATCTCCCGGTCTTGCGGACAGGGCTGAATGAGCCAGTCCCTTGGAGATCGCCCAGCTCCTCTGGTGGAGCAGGACAGGTTTGCCCAGGAAGGCACACAGAGAGGATCAGAGAATAATCGAGGCTGGAAGGGCTTCGGGAAATCACCGGTTCCTGGTCACAGCAGGATTAACTTCAGTGTCAGAGCAGGTTGTGTCCAGGCACGTGCTGAGCATCTCCAAGGAGAAAGATCTCTACAACATCAGGGGCCCCTGACCCAGCATCTGACCTCACTTTGACTGACCTTAATATCAGGTCACTGACATTAAGGTGTCCTCTCACTGACAAGACCTTAATATCCAGTTTCTCAAATTAGCACCTCCTCACGTTCTTCCCACTCCTCACACACAGCCTGAGGTGGCTGTCCCAGCACATTCCCACGGGATGGCCAATAACTACCCCTATCTCCATGACTGGAGGGCAACCTCTGGAAACAGGCCATTTAATGAGCCAGCTCTTAGCACAAGGTGGCACGTTCTCCACCATGGTGTCACCTCCAGGCTCAGGAGAGCTGCTTGGCAAGCCAGATATGAGGGCAGCTGTGCCTACGCTTCTGGAGCAAGGAGGCCACAAGCATACGTGGTACAGGCTCTGGGTGAAAAGCTGAGAACCAGCTGTGTTTCTCACACTCCGGAGCTGAAGATGTGATGGATCTGGAGGAGATCGGTAACCAGGCAATCCGTGGTACTGCAGTGCCACTTGGGGAAGCCAACAACCTTGACCTGCCGAGCTCTGTAAAGATCAAGCTGTGGCAGGTTGGACCTGGAGGCTCTTTGCATGCCTAAATTTTCCTTTTGAATATAAGTTCAGTGTTGCCCTGATGGCTAAGTGTTCCCAGATGACCAGGGTTAGGATGTCCTCAGAAAGATGCACCATCATCTGCAGTGCTTCTTCCCAACAGTGCAGACCCACTGCGCAGTCTCTTACCTCTGCAGCTTCAGCTCTGCCTCCTCTGCCCTCCTCTGCGTTTCCCTCAAGTCAGCAGCCACCTGGATATTTGTCACCATCTGCGTGCCGTCAAAAAGCAGCTTGGCCAGCCTCTGTGAAGTAGGTGGTAGACATCTCACACCCAGAGACCTGAGCTCTGGAGGAAGGGATACTGGAGGAACTCTTGCTGTGCCTGTCCAGGGTCTGGCTCCTATCCCCATGCTGAGGGGCCTGGGTGGACCCATAAGCCCCGTCTTCCCTATGGTAGGGTTTGATGAGCATGGCAAGGACCTCAATGCACCCATGGGCCCTCTACTCTCCTGAAAAGCCCTACAGGCCACCAGCACCAGCAGGAACATACTTAGAGCCCCTTCTTGTTTTGCTTCCCCTGTGTGCATGGATGGGGCTGGGCACAGCGGGGTTTGGGTGAGGATGGACAACATCAGTCCCAGATCCTTCCAATCCATGGGCTGTTTGTCATAAGGAAATCATATCCCCGGGATCCAGCCCCAAAATCACCCTCCATACAGTCCTGAGGAGTTTCTGTCCCTCCCTCTTCTCACATAAATGCTGCCACTGGGAGGGGTGGCTGATGCTCCAGAGGGCCGCGTTGCCATCCAGCGGGACCTGGCCAGGCTGGAGAGCTGGGCAGAGAGGAACCTCATGAGGTTCAACAAGAGCAAGTGCAGGGTCCTGCACCTGGGGAGGAAGAATGCTGGGCACCAGTATAGGTTAGGGGTGGACCTGCTGCGAACTAGCTCTGAGGAGAAGGATTTGGGGGTCCTGGTAGATAGTAAATTGTCCATGAGCCAGCAGTGTGCCCTGGTGGCCAAAAAGGCCAATGGCATCCTGGGCTGCATAGGGAAGAGTGTGACCAGTAGGGCGAGGGAGGTCATTCCTCCCCTCTACTCTGCCCTGGTGAGGGCCCAACTGGAATGCTGGGTCCAGTTTTGGGCTCCCCAGT